GTTGTAGTTAAGATCAGTTGTGCTGCAGATAGAATGAAAATATTAACAATGTGTTCAGATCACACGATAATCGTTTTGTATCCAGAATAAATATTTCACATTAGTTCACGTAACCGTATTCATAAAATGCACGTGATTAAACTTTTCTATCCGAACTCTAGTAACTAAATACCTACCCACAAACCAAGAATATTTCATATTTTTAGTATAAGTCGTCACTTTTATCGACAGAAATAGAAAACGATCTATTGTTAGCTTAAACTACGCGGTAATATTTTTCGTCATATTCTGCACCACGTGCATCAATACAAGGAAGGGGGAGCGACTGCTGTTAATGTTGTTTTTATTGGTTGTAAACACAAAATGCTACTTCCGAGAACTAAACAAAACAGTTAAAAAATAGTCGATGTAATGGTTTCTATTTTTGTTAAAGACTATTGCTGTGGTAACGCCTTCATAAGTTCATTCAACCAGGAAATGGTTACTATTCAAAACAAATTATATACACGAATCGTAGATCATTATATTCTCTCTGCAAACCACTCTTCCTAGGTGTAATCCACAATCTAAAGATAAGATCATCATGCTGCACATCGTAACACACCCACCGACCCAAATTTGTATTTTTGGAGTCATAGCATAACACACCCACCGACCCACATTTGTATTTTTGAATATGAACGTATGTACATATATATATATATCCAGATTTGTAAAATATAAGTAATGTAAAACAAGAAAGTAAGAGCAACTTTTTTCTCTTGAAAAAAAGAAAGACTCTATAACCATGTCATTACTGTATATTAGCGAAATACGTTTTCATTATATCAAATTAGATTAAAATAAACGCTTATATTGTATCAATTAAATGTTGGAATCTGTTTGTCATATGGAAAACAGAATTGGTTTGAATGAAGGTTCAAAGTGCACCATCGATTAGATAATAAATTGATTAAGAGTTGTAGAGAAACAGAGCCAACCAGAGGGGTCAGCGGTAAATTTGAAGACATATAACACTAAAATCCACAATCGATTAGATAATAAATTGATTAAGAGTTGTATAGAAACAGAGCCAACCAGAGGGGTCAGCGGTAAATTTGAAGACATATAACACTAAAATCCAGATTCGGATACCCGTGGTGAATATAGCACATATAGCCAATTGTGTAACTTTGCGCTTAGCAACAAAAAATGAATAAAAAATAACTTGATGAAAATACCTATGAAAGTCTACACTTAGTGCAGTGAGTTTTGATATTCTAATAAAAATGGCTTACTTTGTCGAACAAGTTCCTTTGAGCCCAAACGTCATTTAGTTTTTAATTCCTACTATCCAAATGAGACTTCATGTAGCTCCAGAATTGAACAGGTGGTCTTTTCTTTCAGTAAGAATGGCAAAAATTGTTTACTGGTATATCGAAATTAAGCTTTCTAAAGTAGTTTGTTTTTATCAGTAAACTAACTGTTTTTTTTTAATATTTAGATTAACTTGAGCAAAAACCAGATGGAGAATGACTACCTACCTTTGTTGGAAAGTGGGGAAGAACAAAAAAGAGGCTAAGTCAGTCTAACATAGTTGTTGATAACAGTGTATGTATGTTAACTTCAGCTTTATATGTTTGGTGCCTAGGAGACGAAGTTTCGAAATGTAACGAAACACGATGATTAAATTATTGAAGAACGAAGGATTCGACCAGTTCTATAATCGAAAAAAAAGTTTGATTGTTTTTTTTCTGAGAACAACCCCCCCCCCCCTGATTCTTCTTCTTATAGGTCACTGTCCAGTGTTTAATGACCTTATACTTAATAACTGAATTTTCAAATAAGAGCTTATGAACGATCTTTCAAGAGTGACATATTTTGCTAATAAAAAAAATGCGACATTTAACAGCAATAAACCGAACTCCGTCAGCAACGTTATTTAACTTCCGGATCATTTTTGGAGGATCAAGCTGCTGAGCAACTAATTAAATGTATTCAACACTCATTGTTGTTATCAAGAAGTGTTTTCTTCAATCCCCACCAATCGTGTCGCCCCATCCAAATATTAAAACCTTGTAACCTAAGTTTAATTTTAAAGTAAAATCTCGAAGGAAAAATCAACCCCTAGTAATATGAGATTACAAGAGAGACGCTATTGTGCGTACTGAATACGCACGAGCGTATGGGTTCCCCCCCCCCCAAGAAAAGTTGTAAAACCGAACTTAAAACGATAACAACAACAACAAAAGTATTCTAGATAACGTGTTTCAAAGTTAGCATATAAGGAAATTTCTTTAAAATCACTGAACTTTCAGGGGTGTCGTCCCCTGGTCTTTCCTGCCGTGATGCTCAGTTCTGGGTGATTTTTTCAGATCCCCCATGCGCCTCTAGGTTTCTTACTAAACCTGTTACTGTTGATGAAACACCAGTCTTTTTTTTCTGTATATATTTTAAGATACATAAGTGACTTACACGAATAGATCAAAAAATATTTATTTCATTTTACCTTAAGAATATTTTATAAACTAAGAACAATGAACTCGTTTCTGAAGCCGTTTCAACTTTCTATTGATATCTGCAGCATGAAGAAATACAAATGTTTTATTCTTTGCTGAATACTTCAGATCCATATTAGTAGAACTCTTAAAAATACTAAGAGTAAACTGGCGAAGTCAGTACTGTTGCCATGACTTGAGTATTTTTATGGGACTAGAGTTTTACGTTAGGGATAACGTGAGCACCATCAAGCAAACTTACTTTAAAACGAAGTACAGAAATTGGACTCGAAAGTGCACACGAACCAATAATTTTACACATGCGCAGATGCTTTTACAGGGACCACCCTACGTAAGAAAAGCATAAGTGCTGCAATTGAGGGTTGATTCTTTGATAGTCTTGAGCAATGAACAGATATTTTTGTACATTTCAACGGAACTGTTCGAAGTAAATCATTATAAAGTTTTCTTAATCATTTTCGTTACATGCTAACAGAGAAACGGCCAATGACAAATGAACTTTGTGTCTTTGAATTCATTTCTTCGAAATACTTTGACAGTTTGCATTTTAGTGAAAACAAAAAAAAAGAAAATAACATTACAAATAGAACTTTTGATTTACCACTATGACATTGTAGGTTTGTTTGTTTTTGGCGCAAAGCTACAAAACAGGCTTTCCGCAAAGACTGAACCAAGAAATCTAGAGTTATAAGCCCTCAAGCTTACCTTTAAGCCAACTGGAGAAGTTTAAGCATTTTTATGAAACTTCAGTAATCACCAAGAATCTTTTTTTTTTAATTTTCTGGTGAAATTTTCCTCACGCCATCTGACGGGCTTGAATCACAAAAGATTCAGTTAGCAGTCAAACTTTCTGTCTTGTTACGTTATGGATACTGGGCATTCTAGGAGAAGAAGTTTTGATGCCATTAGCTTCCCCCTTCCCCCGGTGGTTCAGCAATAAATATGACGGCTTATAACGCAAAAAATCGAGTTTTGATACCTACGATGGACACAACGCAGATAGCCCATTGTCTAGACTCGAGCTTGATATCAAACAAAGAAAACAATTTTAATGCTTCGTTGGTAGGAATTCTTAATCTTCTGGTTAGCGTTTCAGATGATCCGAGCATTGAACTCACATCTAATACAAATTTGACTAATTAGAAGAAAACATATGTGTACATTTTATTCATTTTATTAACATTTTGAGAAGGTTCGGTTAAAAACAAAACTGTTTGATTTGTGAATCATGTAATCTGATCGCGGATAAATCAAAATCCTTATTTTCTTTTTCGTATACTTATACGATTAATTGATTTATTGATTCAGAACACTAATATTAGTAGAATAATAAACTGAAATGTTTCACACTGCGTTCAGAAGACAATAATATTGTATTAATCTGCCACTAGGAGAACAACTTACCAAAGACATGATGTTCCTTAGTCTGCCATCAGGATAGTAGGTTACCAATGATAATGATATTCTTTAGCCTGACACAATGATAATACAATGGTAATACACAATGATAATAATATTTTTTAGCCTGACACAATGTACCCAATATGATATTTTCCCTCAATTTACGTCGTTTTGAATCACAGAACTGTCGAAAAACTAAATAGATTTATTAATTGGAAAAAATAATTAAAAGTGCCCATTATGTCTATTTACAAGGGGGACAATGTACCCAATATAATATTGTCCCTTAATTTACGTCGTTTTGAATCACAGAACTGCCGAAAAACAAAATAGAGTTAGTAATTGGAAAAAATAATTAAAAGTGTTCATTACGTCTATTTACTTTTTTTTTAAATAACAAAACATTTTGTTTACAATAAAATATTTATTTATTGCAGATCTACCTATCAAACCTAAGATATGAACACCGTGGTTTCTATGACAACATCTTCAATCATATCTCTGTTTCTTATAATCTTTGCCATCCAAATACCAGAAGGTAAGCCTCAATTGTCATTATTTACAATGCTCGTAACTGCTGCTTTGAAGGAGAACAGTTCCCGAGCACCCCTGTTGGGAAGAGCAGGCAACTATCACGTTGTTTTCTCTTCCTTCAACCTAAATTCCTGCCACGATTAGTTTTTTTCCGTACTCTTTGTTCGCATTCTGAGGAATGGCAGAGTTCCAACCTAAGATTTCAATGGAATATCCCGTATAAACGATACGTTTTGAAGACAAAGAAAACCAGCAAAAAATATTACTACAATTACATAACTGGAAACTGTTGTGAGTGTTTCTAAACTCAAAGGATGACATACATTTACCGTTAGGCTTGGAGTTTACAAGGTTATTAAAAGCGCATTTACCTGGCCTATAGGTAAAATGGAAATTAAATAATTATCTAGTTATAACTTTTATACTTGATTACCTAAGAGACCCTTTAAAATTAAATATATATATATATATATATTAGTCTCTTTAATACATATATTTTAACCCAAGTTACATGTTTTAAATGTTGCCAGTTTTATTAAAATATTTCAACGAGAAGAGAAAACTTTCATTATGAACAAACAATTGTACTTACTTAATTCTCTTACTTTGAAACATGAAAAAAGGACGGATGTTGACACCAGAGGGACGGATGTTGACACCAGAATTTTCTGGGAGATCGAATTTGTCTAAATAACAAAAAAATGCTCTTAGATAGAAATACTGGTGCGCTGGTTTAATAAAATAGTGAATAATGTATACATATTAGGGGTCGAAATGATCTTGTTTCATGGAAAACACATATCATATTTGGTGTTTTTACTGTTTAAGATAAAAATCGACCGTTATGACAGTCCAGAACTAAAACAGTTTTTGTGCACATTCATTATGAATATCTATATTTCTGTAGTTGTAAAAGAAAAACGAATCAGCTTAATTCAACGTTGTTTTCTTCCTATTTTGAAGATAGTGATTAGAATGGACAATCACATTTTCCAGATATGCCCAAAATGGTAAAATGGTAAAATACAAAGGAGATTACACCAGAACTGTGTGTACTCAGTTTTGCGTGTTTTCTGGGTGTGAAATGTGATGATATACTTACAGACAGGATGCTGAAACTCGCTCCTCTCCGAAACAAACTGCAGCAGATGGTTGAGGGACGACTAGATAAGATGGATGCCGAATGATATACTTACAGACAGGATGCTGAAACTCGCTTCTCTCCGAAACAAACTGGAGCAGATGGTTGAGGGACGACTAGATAAGATGGATGCCAAATCTGTGAAATACTTCCCACGCCTGATAGTCGATGAACTTGGCAACCTCTGCATTAAAGTATACCAGTTAAGATAGGCCAAGTCTTAACACGCATAGATGAAGATGAAGGTTTATCTTCATAAGGAACAAACAAATATCCACCAAACCAGACACACATCGTCCAAAAGCTACACCTCTGAATCGAGTATGGATAAAGACTTCAATCTGTGACAGAATGTTATGCTTAAAATGCAAGATTTAAGTCAGAGTATCGGGATGTTGTGCATACGTTGCGTCTTTTTTGTGGTACTTTGCACATACAAGATACATCAGTGAGATTCTTGATGCTCCATTTCAAGGTCTCCTGGAACATAGCACCGAAGCTTGTTGTATCTGGAGAAGTTCTAGCTGTAATTGTGATTAAAGTGTCCCCCTGTTATGTTAATGTACACGTGTGGTATCAAAACATAGCAAATATAGTTTTGTTGGTTGTTCGTTTTCGTAATAAGAGAAACCTTTAATACCATAATATCAATCTGATAGACTTCACTATGACGGTGGTGTTACTTATACAGTCTGAAAATATCCCTGTTTGACCTAAAGTTTTTCAGATATCTATAGAGTAATCTTAAAATTACCTCAGCTAGGTAACACATAATGAAAAGTTGATATCCAGATAGTTCCATTGAAATCAGGTACGGGGATGAATTTCAACCTTATAGGCACCTTTTATTTCTTAATTTCTCACAAATGAACCAAGTTATTTTTTATTAGACCAGTTGTGAATTTTAGATGCTTAGAAGTTTCATTTATATATTTATTAATTAGAATTTTTTGCTTAATTAATGGGTGAATCACAACCTAAAATTAATTAGATAAAAACATTTAATTATTTCGGGAATATATTTTGAGCTGCCTGTATTTATACACTTTCATTGTTTCGTTCTGGATTTGATACAAATAACATGTATGATACAAAAAAAGTAGATTTTTAATCGAGCATTAATGCATCGTAGATGTCTAGCGAATATTATATCTTTTATTCAAGTTTTGTCGTTTACTATCTTGGTCATAAATAACGCCAGGCTTTTCTCTGTCATCCGGATAGATCGCTTTCTCAGAAAACGTTTTATGAGTTGATTATGCTTTTCTCAACACTCGTCCTTTTCTTGCATTCGTTAGGTTCTTACGGTCGATACTTAGTATTAGCATCATGCACGATAGGAGAGACTCAAAATAGAATTAAAAACACCGTCTTTCAAAGCAGTAATATGTCTTATGTTATTCACTAGTATTACAAGTCGCGGGAGCTCCAGTTCTGGAAAATATAACTTCCTAATTCCGTTATATTCCCTAGCGCGGACTTATATGCAGTTCTCTATAACTTAAATAAAGCTTGATAGTCAATGCATACGCTTCCACCTCACAAACAATGAGATAATAGGGTTCGCATCGCTAGCAAGTTGGGACTATATTTTATTTGATAAAAGTTTGTATAAATGCGCCCGCTTATAAGTGACACAAATAGTTGGTGGTTGGATCTGTACCCCTTATCACACCTGGGAAATCCTATGTTTTCCCAGCAGATGAATACACAAATACGCCTACTTATATGTACGAAAAGTGTATTTATCTATAGAAGGAGTCAAAATTAAAAGTAGAAACTGGTTGAGAATGTATCCAACAATGCTCACTTGTCTGTGAAGAGAGGCAGAAGCTTAGAACAACCAATACAACAGTACGAAAACCACTTCGTGATGGTTGTATATAAATCTATAACCCATAATCTCACATTTGTATGATGTTGTGATAAATTATTAAATCAGATTCATAATCACACACAACCGATACTTGTTTATTACAAACATTTTCGTATAAAATGTATGGAAACGCGTAGAGTTGCTGACAATATGGTTATATATTTATTTCCAAAATAGCACAATTAGCAACTATTTACAAAGTTATAACATTCATACTATAAATTACAAAATTGGTTTGAAGGCTCTCTATGTTTGGTTTTAATACTAATAATAATAATTCGTAATAATAATTACTTCATTCAATAAATATAATACATAAATTTGAATGAATTGACAGGAAATAAGTTTCCATGGTAATTACATAATAACTGACATGGGCATCGAGAATTCATACAGTTATATTTTTTAGAAAGACAAGAAAACAAAAAATTATGCATTTAATTCTAGTTTATCACGAACTTCAAATAGTCAATTATACATGTATAATGTTCCTTATGATGTCAAATCCGTAAAGTTATCAAGAGAATCTAAGAATTTTGGTCAAACTAATAAATAAATATTACAATTATTTCAGAAATTAACTGTTTTTAATTATATATAATTTTAATTTATCATAGACATTACATAATGAATGATCCATAAAAATAAATTGTATGAGAAAACAAGATATCTATAGTTAGACTTAAATACATAATATTATATATTAACATATATATATGCAATTACAATCAAAATAATACTTTCTGATAATAACTTTCCTAAAAAATACTATTATTATTTTTTTGTCAATTCTTAGTGAATATTCATGATTTCAGTTTAGTCTCTGTTTACATAAATTTCAATTATATTTAACCAAAACATTAGTTTATGAAAATGTATTTGTAAAATTTGTTTGCTAAATTTCATGCCAATATGAGTTGTATTCAAAGCTGTATCATCCGCATATTGATATGTTGTACTATTTAGACCTATGTTTGACAAATTATAAACATACAAGTTACATAGTAATGTACGTAAAATGAAACCCTGTGAGACCTTATACTTTATAGCTATACGACCACTCTTTGTATTTCTAACTCATGTTACAGAAAACCTTTCACTCATCTAACCAATAAACCATTTTTATAACTCACATCTTATACCCAACAAGTATAAATGCAAACTGTCATTACAAAATAATCATAATCATTATATTTAAATTATTAATATCAGAGTATAACTGAAATTAAGACCTTATTGATCATAACACAAAATATAATATCATATAAAGTAATTACATCATTATCACTAAAATGCACTTAAATACAAGATATTTAGCTAAGTTAATGACAATATCAATCATATGTGTATGAATTACCATTCAATTAATATTATTCAGTTTGTCTATTTATATCAGTTAATAACCAGCCTTTTAACTTTTCTTTAAATCTGAAATTTTATTAATGTTCCATTAATTCCTGGAGAGTTGGTTCTTTATATATGGTATTTTGTACTCTTTTTTTTTCCACAGTTATTATTACATTTTCGAATTTCATAATATATATTTTCTAATGTTCTAGTATTATACATATGATTTTATAATACTTTGTTATGTGCATTGTAATAGGACTTTATAATTATCATATACATATAAAGTACATATACATCTAATACATATTTTTATAATTTCATTCGTTAGTATGAAATTTGTATCGAATTCGTCAATTTTGTCTAAAATTATCAACTTAAACATTTTGTTTGAATTATATTTAATTTTTGAAACTGAATGCTACTTGTTGAGCTATATGTTGTCAACTTATAACGAATGACAGATTATGCTAAAGATACATATCCTGAATCTTCCATAACTTCACTGCAATAGGTCTTAATTTATTGCAGATCACATTTATATGTTTAAACCAACTAAAAACACAATCTATAATAAGCATTAAGTATGTCTTAGTATTAACGTTTTCAAGTAGAATCAGAATACTGCTTATTTTCTACA